CATCTACCACTGGGTTGTTTTACAGCTTGGAAGTCTGCATGCAAGGCAGAGGTGAAGTAAGGAACTGCTTATGAGGTTTTCCGTCAATTTCAACAACTAAGAAATAGTGAGAAGAGTTGGGATCTCATGTGTCCAGGAGAAAACAAATATACTTATCAGTAATGTTAATGCTCACCCACAGCTCTTCTGGGAGGATCTAAATCGTTGAAGTGTCCTCCTTTGTTTCCAGCTGGGAGCTGGGGCCTGTCAGTCCTGTCTGCCACGAGGACCTGATGTGGGCCACCCTTGGCCAAGTGTCCTTCAGATCCACACTTAAAGCAAGTGAGTGGGAGCTTCCTCTCTACTCCCTTGCCTATCTGTGGCTCTTGTCTGTCACACTGTCTACTGAAGTGGCCCAGCTTTCCACAGTGGAAGCAATTCTGACCTCCTTTATTACCTTTGGGTGGCACTGTTAATGAGTAAGACTTCCTTTTCCTGACACAGGCCCTAAACTGGTAGCAATAGCTGCCCCAATAATTTTGGCCATTCTCTGGTCTTTTCTCTTCCCTCTAGATCCCAGTTGTTAAAAGAGGGAAACATTTAAACAAATATATAATAATTTTGGATATTATAATCTTTTAAGCTTAAGGCTAGAAATATTAACAATATGATCATTTCCAATCCAGAGATATATGTTCCAATGCAGTTGCTATTTTCCATAAATGGTTTTGGTAAGAAGAATACTGCAAATGTGGATACAGTTCCACTATTCCTTCTACTCCCCTATCTTTAGTGATGCTGTACTGATAATTTATACGCACTAGATACAAGTCTTTGTTGGTTATGTACCATTGAGTCATGACTTATAAAGATCCCATGAACAACAGCTCTGAAGAGCTCTGAGGTTGGCCCTGCCTTGTGCCATCCTTCTCACCTCTCTTGTCCTTGAGTCCATTGTTACAGTCACCCTGTTGATCCGTTTTGTTGAAGGTCTTTCTCTCCTATGCTGACCCTCCTTGTATTCAAGCATGAAGCCCTTCTCTAAGCACTGACTCCTCCTACAAAATGTGCTGAGTATGTGAAATGGCATTTGACCATCCTTGCCTCCAAGGAGCACCCTTAGCGCACTTTCTCCAGTCCTTAATCATAGCGACATCAAGGACACAAAATAACATATTGCCTACTCCTGTCCTATCCTCAGTCACTTCTTCTCTAAAGCCCAAGTGGTTATTGTGGCAATGCATTTAATCAGGGGTCTTCTTTACCACTGACTCTGTGCTTTACCAAGCATGATTTTCTTTTCCAGGTACTAGCTCATTCTGATAATATACCCAAATTATGTAAAAGTAGTCTGACCCTCCTTGCCTATAAGGGATATCTACCTTCATCCCTTTCAAGACATATTTGTTATTTTGGTAGTTAGTGGTATATTCAGTATTCTTTGCCAACCATAATCTAAAGGTGAAAATTCTTTTTTAGTCTTCCTTATTCATTGTTCAACTGTCACATGCACTAGTGCTGATTGAAAATACTATGTTGTTGTTGTGTGTCATTGCTTGCAACTCATAGTGACCCTATGTAATATAGCCCTGAAAGTGGCTCTATCCTGTGCCAACATCACTGTCCTGACATACCTACATTCATTATCCCAGCCAGTGAATCAATCCATCTCGTTGATGGTCTTCCTCTCTTTCTCTGTCCCTCCACCTTTCCAAGTATGATGTACCACTCCAAGGACTGATCCCTCCTTGCAGCGTGTCCAGAGTATCTCAGACAAAGCCTCAGAAACCTTGCCTCCAAGGAGTAACCTGATTTCACCCTCTCTAGGACGAACCTGTTCTCCTGGCAGTATATTCAGTACTCTTCTCCAGCTTGAGTTAAATGCATATTTAGTCTTTGAAGTGATATCTCTTTCTGTAGCACTTTTATGAGACCTATGGTAGTAGATTTGCTTAAAAGAACATGCCATTTGATTTCTTGACTACTACTTCCATGAGAATTAGTTGTGAACCCAAGTAAACTGATACCTTTGACAACTTCAATCTTTTCTGCATTTATCATGACTTTTTTGGGGAAGATTTTTGTTCTCTTCATGTTATGAGAAGTTCTTTCTGTTATGAAGACTTCTGTTTATGTATTTTGGTTTAATTGTGGGGATTTTACTTTCTTTTTTTTTAAATTTTTTTTTTATTATTTTGTGTGCGTGTACCGTCAAATCAGATCTGACTGGTACAGGAGGATATTGGGGATTTTACTTTCTGTTGAGGTACAATTCATATTGAAGCTGCAGCTTTGATCTTTATCAATAAGTGGTTCATCATCTTCATTTTGTAAAAACAAGATTGCTCCATTTGCACAATATGAATATGTGCTTTGTGAATATCTTCTCCAACTCTCTGACTTAAAGTCTGTGGGTGATGCAGATCTTTAACATATGAGGCTTATAAGCAAAGAAAGGTCTGGCACTACTGAAAAATCAGTCATTGCAACGCCTACAAAACATAATTCTATTCTGACCTACATGGGGATGCCAAGAATTGCAATAAACCCCAAGACCACTTGCTACTTTATTGTTTATGTTTTCATATTTTTTATATTATGCTTAATTATAAACTATTTTTTCATATTATTAATGGTGTATTTTAATTTAACAAACTTAATTTTCATTTCATTCTGTTTTACCTATATTTACATGTTTTTCATAATAATTTTCTATTCCAAATGTTTGTGGATACATGGAATCACTTTTAAATATAATATTTTTCTCAAATTTATTTTATACATACAATTTTATTTAAGTCAGTATGATTTCTGTATCTCTAACTAATGAAGCAATTAACTAATTATGCAAACAATGATTGCTTATCTCTTTATAATCTGCAGTGTTTTCTTTGCCATATTAGGTGGTTGAACTTCATGTGTTAGAAATTGATTTCTGGACTTCTTTTAATCATATTTTTATCCATGTGTGTAAAAAAAATGAGTAACCAGAATTTTAAGGAATTTACATAATCAGTAGCTTAGATTTTTTTTTTTTTAGAGAAAATGAAAGGTGAAAAAAAACCTGGAAGAACTTGGATAAAGTTCAGAAATCTGGAAGGAATCGGAAAGAAGAATGAATAAAACCAGGTAAACATAGAGAGGAAAAGGGGAGTGTATCATTACTTTGTAGGGATTTCAATCATCATCACAAAACAAAATGTGTACAAATTGTTGAATGACAAACTCACTTGCTCTGTAAAATTTCATCCAAATCACAACAAAAAAGGTTTTAAAAGGTTTTTAAGAGTTCAAGTGCATTGACATAATCAGTTCCAGAAATCAAATGTTCTGTCCAAGAAATTGATGGAATTTCTTTTACATTATGAGGCAATATTTCTGTGAAAAATATGATATACCATTTCTAGTTGTAAAACTTAGAGCACTATTTGAGAAGATGATTTTTGAGAACCAATTGGAATGCTTTGGAAATCTTTCACAAAGTACTGCAATTTATTCTGAGAAGCAAAAATCTGCATAGGTTTTCTGTTGCTTTGTAACCTTTTACCTAAATGATAATCTGGAGTAGTAACACTCTACTGCAGAGTCATTGGACCTCATGGCAACTCCATGTGTTTCAGAGTAGAACTGTTTCCTTGGCTGTAATCCTTGCAAAAGCAGTGCACTAGATCCGTCTTCCATATTTCCACCAAGTGAGTTTAGAATATCAGTATTTAGATTAGTAGTCAAGTACAATCATCTTCATCATCTCTGGCACGCTAGAACCCGTTGTTGAAGTCACCATGTCAATCCATCTCATCGAGGGCCTTCCTCTCCTTCGCTGACTCTCCCTTCATCTTTCCAAGCATGATGTTCCTTTCCACGAAACAGCCATGTCTAGCTAGATGACCAAAGTACGAAAGATGAACTTTTGCCATCTTTGCTTTCAAGGAGCACTTTGACTGCATTTTTTCTAAGATATGAAGATGGTATACGATAGAGCAGGGTGCAGGAGGGCTGTTCATAGGGTTGCTATGAGTTACAATTTGAATAGCTGGCACCTAACAACAACAGTCAAGCACAACCAGTTGTACTACTTAGAGACCTAATCTTGTATTGTAATCAGCCTCAAATCCTGCCTCATATTAATTCGCATTTTGCTTACTCATTGGACAGACAGACTACATCTAATAAAGTGTTTTTGCTTGTTTTTCTTTTTCTTTCCTTCTTCTGTCCTTCTTCCACAGAAGGAAAGAGAGTTTTGACTTCTACAATGCCTGCTAAGGTTTCCAAGTGTCATAGAGTTAATAATTAACAAGAATACTCCTGAATTTTTATTATTTACTCTTCAGTCGTGAGTGGGATGTTTTTCCTAAGAAGATATTTAAAACAGTCTTATAAATGCACATGCTTCAGGCTGGAACAAGGGTAAAGGTTCGGTAACTTTAAAAGTGAGATAACGGAATAAAGATCTTTACACAGAATTTTAGATATCTCAAATCCATTAATGAAATAAAGAATTTATTATTATTTTCCAATTGATTATAATAAAACCTTGCTACAATAGGTAGAAATAAGTTATCAATCATAAATTATGATTAAGAACAGAAACATCACCATTTATGTTGGGTCTGTGATAAGAAATGAGAAATAGCAGGTACTCAATAAAATATGTTGACAATAAGGGATTAGATATTTTAATTCATTAATTATATAATTTTTAACTAATAAAACAAAATGCCTATGAAAAATCAATATGATTTATGAAATCGTCCTTGAAATAAAAGCAAATAATTAAAATTAAAAAATAAAATATACTGAATGACTTGATGAATTAATCAGTGACTAACATCACATAAGGAAAAAAATTGCAATTCTTGACACTCAAAATATTTAGTTGTTTGATCTTTAAATGCATTACACAATTAAAAATCGGGTGGGGGTAGAGGTAATGATCATATCTATATTTTACTATCTCTTTTTCTTATTCTAGGAAAATAAACATTCATTTTAAGCTATTTAATAATCATAAAAGTCTGATCATGCTAATGTTAAACATAACAGACTTGACGCCAACTTCCTTTATTCTGAATGGAATCCCAGGACTAGAGGACATGCACATATGGATTTCCTTCCCGTTCTGTTCAATGTATGTTGTGGCTATGGTTGGCAACTGTGGACTCCTCTATCTTATCCGCTATGAAGACTCCCTGCACAGGCCTATGTACTACTTCTTGGCGATGCTGTCCCTAACTGACCTTGCCATGTGTTCTAGTACAATCCCTAAAGCCCTCAGCATTTTCTGGTTCCAGCTCAAAGAAATTGGCTTTGATGAGTGTTTGGTCCAGATGTTCTTCATTCACACTTTCACAGGGATGGATTCTGGAGTGCTTATGCTTATGGCCCTTGACCGCTATGTGGCCATCTGCTACCCTCTGCGCTATTCAACCATCCTCACCAATCCTATCATTGCCAAGGCTGGGCTTGCCACCTTTATGAGGGGTATGATATTGGTCATTCCCTTCACTTTCCTCACCAAACGACTACCTTATTGCAAAGGCAACATAATTCCTCATACCTATTGTGACCACATGTCTGTGGCCAAATTATCCTGTGGAAATATCAAGATCAATGCTATCTACGGTCTAATGGTTGCCCTCTTGATTGGGGGTTTTGACATCTTGTGCATTTCAATCTCATACACCATGATCCTCAGGGCAGTGGTCAGCCTGTCATCAGCAGATGCCCGCCAGAAGGCTTTTAGCACCTGTACTGCCCACATCTGTGCCATTGTTTTCTCCTATAGCCCGGCTTTTTTCTCCTTTTTTGCTCACCGTTTTGGAGGCCACACAATCCCTCCATCTTGCCACATCATTATAGCCAATATATATCTGCTCTTGCCTCCCACTATGAACCCTGTTGTCTATGGTGTAAAAACCAAGCAAATACGAGATTGTGTCCTTAGGATTCTTTCAGGTCATAAAGACATCAAATCTCACACATAGCACATGAGTGGATATTTCACAAGAATAAAACAAAAAATGGAACAACAAGGGAAGGACTATTTTTGTTTGTTTAATCAGAAGCTGAAAACATTTCTGGAAGTACTCTTGAGGATCTTAACATCACTAAATGGCCCTGTATACTGTGGATTTTTCATTACCTTGCTCCTTTGAAGGACTGGTCTCATCATTATTCATAGTTTCCTTAAAGAATTCCTAATGTCATATTTTAAAGGAAAAGAAATGACTAAAGATGAAGAATTTCTTTGGAGGTCTGATAATCCTGTTCTGAGTTCTGTTTTTCATAAATTTCCAGATTGACCTCAAGTGATTATGTCCCTCTATAAAATATGTGCTTATACTTTTATCTTTGTTAAAAAATACCTAAACTTTCTCCATGACTTCTGAAAGAAAAAAGAAAAAAAATAACCCATGAAGTCATCAGGATGATGAAGTTCTAAAAGCCTGAATACTTGTTAGGTGTCACTGAGGTAATTTTAACTCCTAGAACTCTACGTACAACATAATGAAATGCGGTATAATCCTCTCAATCGCTGTTTTGTTAGAGTCTTTTGTTGTAAACATTATGACAACCCAAAAGGGTGCTTTTCTTTTGCTCATCTTCTGTTTTACCAAGTGTGATGTTCTTTTTTAGGGAGTAATCCCTCCTGATGGTATTCTCAAAGTATATGACAAAAGAGTCTCACCATTCTTGCTTCAAAAGGCATTCTAACTGTACTTCTGATGAGAGAAATTTGTTTGTTCTTCTGGGAGAAGAACACCACCCTCAAAAGTGTATTTTTTTAAGGTCTTTCATACTCGTGTTTCCCATTTTCACATGCATATAAAATGACAGAAAAGATCATAGATTGAATAAAAGCTTAGTCTTCTTCAAAGCGACATCTTTGTGTGTATGTGTATGTTGTTACTTTTTGTTGTTTTTTAGATAATTTGTTGTAAAATGAAGAAGCCACAAAGCAAAATGGGATGTAACAGATGTAAAAAATAAATTTTTTAAATTAAGTTTTGTCAAAGACTAGCCTGGATTCTGTAAGTTTAAAAACAAGAAAAATAGCAATTGAAAACAGGAGTGTTTTGTGGTTGTTGGTGTTTTTGTTGTTTTTTTTTTTAAGGAAAAAAAGTTCTGTAGTTGAAAAGAAGACAACCTTTCACTCTAAAATATAAATAAAATAATCTTTAACACAGGAAAAATATACTTTAAAAGACTGGAGCGGGGAGTTTTTTCATTAACAAATAAACTGTATCTTCCTGTTATATTTAAGTATGTTTGTTTTTAGCTAGTGAATTTTAAAAATCCCTGCTTCCACATTGTAAACGATGTTTTGTTTCTTAACACTTTTAAGAAATCCTTTACAGCAGACTTGTCCAATGCAATGTATGTTTTTTGTGTGTTTTTTTAACTTCTGTTTCCATGGGCTTTTATTGTGAATCTACAGAAGATAAAATCCTTGGCCATTTCCATTCTTTATTATAATGTTGCTTATTGGCCCAGTTTTAAGGACTTTTGTTTTATGTTGAGGTGTAATCCATGCCAAAAGTTATAGATTATCAGTAGGTCCTTCAAATATTTTTGTTTCAGGAAGCAAATTTGTATAATCTGCAAATTGCTGTTGGTAATGAGTCTTCTTCCTCCAATCCTGACACCAAGTTATTCTTCATATAGTGAAACTTCTTGAATTATTTGTCCATGTTACAGATTGACTAAGTATGGTAAAGGACTGAAACAAAACTTTCATGATTTTTAATCCCCTTTATCCCCCAAACATTATCCCTTTGTTCTGCTCAAATGACAACATCAGAGGCCTTTTTCAAGTCCTAGAACAACACAAGTGAGCACTCTTTGTTTCCTAAACTAAAAATCCTGTGCACATTCAAAGCTTTGTTATCTAAAATTTCTTTTCAGCCAAAATCCACTTGATATTAGCAGTGATATTCCTCATTCCATTTGTTCTTCACATTCTATCTTGAATGTATGTTTCCTAAAATATCTGTATATAATATTAAAATGAGTTTAAATTATTTATAGCAATACATTTACTTTGTGTGCTATTGATTATTGTTCAAAGATTTCTACATTCTGTTGTATCACCTTACTTTGGAATACACATAAAAATGAATTGATTCACTTTCGGCACCACCATGGCAGTCGGCAAGAACAAGCGCCTTACAAAACGTGGCAAAAAAAGGAGCCAAGAAGAAAGTGGTTGATCCATTTTCTAAGAAAGATTGGTATGCTGTAAAGGCGCCAACAATGTTCAATATAAGAAATATTGGGAAGACATTAGTCACAAGGACTCAAGGAACCAAAATTGCATCTGATGGACTCAAGGGTTGTGTTTTTGAAGTGAGCCTTGCTGATTTGCAAAATGACGAAGTTGTATTTAGAAAATTCAAGCTAATTACTGAGGGTGTTCAAGGCAACAACTGCCTCACCAACTTCCATGGTATGGATCTTACCCGGGACAAAATGTGCTCCATGGTCAAAAAATGGCAGACCATGATTGAAGCACATGTTGATGTAAAACCACTGATGGTTATTTGCTCCGTCTATTTTGTATTAGTTTTACCAAAAAAACGCAACAATCAGATTCGGAAGACATCTTATCCCCAGCACCAACAGGTCCGCCAAATCCGGAAGAAATTGATGGAAATCATGACCTGAAAGGTGCAGACAAATGACTTGAAAGAGGTGGTCAATAAATTGATTCCAGACAGCATTGGAAAAGACATAGAAAAGGCTTGCCAGTCTATTTATCCTTTCCATGATGTATTTGTTAGGAAAGTAAAAATGCTCAAGAAGCCCAAGTTTGAGTTGGGCAAACTCATGGAGCTTCATGGTGAAGGTGGTAGCTCTGGAAAAGCTACTGGAGATGAGACAGGTGCAAAAGTTAAACGAGCTGATGGTTATGAGCCACCAGTTCAAGAATCTGTTTAAAATTCAGCCTTTTAATAATTACAAATAAAAATTATTATTTGTGGAAAAAAATAAAAATTGATTCTAGTCAATTTGTAATGTAACTATTTTGTAAGTTTCTTGGCATAAATAAGTGGGCACTTTCAGCACTATATTTATTTGCTGAAATATTTTAGTTGGTTTGAAATATTTTAGTTGGTATTTCATTGATTCCTGGAGCCTTGTTTTTTACCTATATTTTCAGTGCAACTTTTATCTTTTTATTCAGTACTTTGGAAGTTTATATATGATACATTTTTTTAAATGGTACATCTTGAAACTGTTGAATATCAACCAACAATTTGATTGTGAATACAAGTGACTCTGTATTCTTTTCAGCTTATTTTGGTGCTTTTTAGGTCATTCATTTGTTTTGCCAAAAAAGTATTCACTATTACAACTTGTTGTTATTGGTGCCGTCAAGTTGGAACCAACTCATAGCTGACCCTCCAGTGGATTTTCACATAGGAGGAAAGTGCCCATCTCTCTTCTGGAGAGCAGCTGGATTTGAATCTTAAAGTACAATGCTATCAGTGATAGGATATTTAATTTTACTTGGATCCACAACTGATACCCACGGTAGCAGCAGTCAAGAAATCAAAAGACATGTTGTGTTGAGAAAATCTGCTTTCAAGAATCTCTTTAAAGTGCTAAAGAACAAGGGACATTAGTTTAAAGACTAAGGAGAGCCTGTTTGACAATGAATAAGGAAGATTGAAGAATAATCAATACCTTTGAATTGTGGTACTTAGTGATGAGAATTGAATATTCCATAGACTACCAAAAGAACAAACAAATCTGTCTTGAATTAAGTGCAACCTGACCTCCAAGATGCTTCTATCTTCGTGTAACTTTTTACTTAGCTTTTTATAACAGTGGACTTATGATGTCCTTTGGCAACTGATTTAAGTCGCTCAGTGTGACTTGTTCTAGATTCATCCAAGTTATATAGTATTTCAAGAACTCTATTTTTATTTTTTTTTAATTTTCTTTTATTTATTTTCTTTTTGTGTTGCTGACTACAGGGTACTTTATTGATGATACATGACAAGATGGGCTCTCTCGGCTCCTACCCTTTCTCAGGGGGACTAGATGGAAACTATGTCAATGATGTGAGATTGACTCTCTCTCTCCTAATGCTATTGCTGGGGCAACTGGTCCAAGGTGCTCTTATTCTTTGGATGCCATTGAATCATTAGGTTGACCACATGGTTGCTGTAGTCAAAATTGTTGTCATACCAGGAAACGAGTTTGACAAAGTGGTTCTTCAGGGTAATGCCAGCCCCAGCATCAAAAGTGGAAGAGTGAGTGTCACTGTTAGAGTCACAGGAGATAACCTGATCTTCAGTGTATCCCAGGATTCCCTTGAGGGGCCCTTCTGATGCCTGCTTTACTACTTTCTTGATGTATCATATTTGGGAGCTTTTTCAAGACAGCAGATCAGAGCCACAACTGACATATTGGGGGTAGGGACATAGAAAGCCATGCCAGTAAGTTTCTCATTCAGCTCAGGGACGACCTTGCCCATGGCCCTGGAAGCACCAGAAGATAAAGGGATGATGTTCTGGGCAGCTCCACGGCCATCAATGCTTTACAGAGGGGCCATCCATAGTCTTCTGTGGGGTAGTGATGGCATGGACTGTGGTCAAGTCCCTCTATGATGCCAAAGTTGTCATGGCCTCAGGCTGGCATAAGTTTTATGACTCTAGGGAGTTGGTTTTCTCTCTGTCACAATGGGCCTCTAAGAGTGTGTGTGTGTGTGTGTGTGTGTGTGTGTGTGTGTGTGTGTGTGTGATAAAATCCTAGAGTCCATCTATAATAGCAGTCAACAAGCTCCAGGTAAACCAACAGATCACTAAGTCTAGAGGCTCTTAGCTTCCTGAGAGGCTGCAGTAGGTGCATAGTTGGTCTAGGGTTAGCATTTTCAATCTTCTACAGAGATTTGGAAGTGCCTTCCAGAACAGCAGACCTCAGCGATGATAGGAACATGTGTACTGGTCATTTTTTTTAGTCTATATTTTCACAATTA